AAATTTTCCCACATTTGGTCAGTAAGAGCCCCTTCAAAGTAACTTCTACATCGTTTTGACATGTTCTCATCACTCCTGGAGCACTTCGTTAATTTCTGACATCACAAAATGTTCCAAGATTATCTTGTCATTTGTCTGACCTAGTGCTGAAAGTAGCCTTTATTCCAAGATCTGGATGTACACTGTAATAATAGCTACTAGTATGCTACTGCTTTTAGGCCTTCTCTTGGACACAACTAGGATATATGTGTGTCAGTTTGTATATATGTTTGTGTGTAATCAGATCAAACAGATACTCAGATACTTCTAATTCTAATCCAGAAGCAGAGGGTTTGTTTTAGTCTTCTCATGTTGAACAGTAAGAATCCTGAGAAATTTGCTCATTTGTAGAATACACAGAAAGCATTTTCAAAATTGTTGACTTATAACATTTTTAAAACAAACTAATATAAAGTCATCACAGGAAAAGAAAACAGAGTAGCATCTCTTATGAATATAGATGTGAAAACTCTCAGCAAAGTATTAGTTAACCAAATCCAGCAAGAGACTAAAAAAAAAAATCATACACCATAACCAAATCAATTTACCCCAGAAAGGCAAGGTTGATATAGCATCTAAAAGTCAATTAAAATAATACATCATATCAATAGTATACAGGGCAACAACCACATTTATTTGTATCAATACCGATTCATGGATTTTTATTTTGTTCAATGAGTTGTAAAATATTTTGACACTCAGTTTCCCTAATGCCTACATAAAAAAGACATTTGATAAAATTCAACACATTTTCATGCTTAAAACACTTAACAAACTAGGAAAAGAAGGGAACATCCTCAACCAGTTAAAAGACATCTACCAAAAACGACAATTAACATCATACTTAATTGTAAAGGCTAAATGTATTCTCCCTAAAATCAGGAATGACGAGGACGTCTTCTCTTACCAGGACAACTAGGAATAAAAAGAAAAAAAAAAAAGACTTCTACTTTGGAAAAAGAGAAGGTAGAAAACTATCTCTATTTGCAGATGACATGATCTTCTGTACAGAAAATCCTAAGACAGCCACTGAAAAACTATTACAGTTACTAAACAAGTTTACCAATATTGCAGAATATAAAAGCAATATACAAGTTAGTTGAACTTGCACCTGCAATGAACAATCTGAAAATGAAAGGAAGAAAATAATCTCATTTACAACCCTATCATAAAGATTACAATAACCCTTATATTACGTCATACTCATAAATTAACTCTAAATGGATGGAAGATGTAAAGTAAGATGTAAAACTATAAAACTCTTGGAAGAAAACGGACAATTATTTGTGATACTGGATTATACAAAGCCTTCTAAGAACGACACTAAAAATGTAAGCATAAAATAAAAAATATAAATTGGACATGATCAACATTTTAAAACTTTTAAGGCCGGGCATGGTGGCTCATGCCTGTAATCCTAGCACTTTCAGAGGCTGAGGCAGGCAGATCACTTGAGGACAGGAGTTCAAGACAACCTTGGTCAACATGGAGAAACCCTATCTCTACTAAAAGTACAAAAAATTAGCCGGGCGTGGTGGCTCACACTTGTAGTCCCAGCTACTCAGGAGGCTGAGGCAGGAGAATCGCTTGAACGCCAGAGGCGAAGGTTGCAGTGAGCAGGAGACTGTGCGCCACTGCACTCTGCCCTGGGCAACAGATCAAGACTCGGTCTCAAAACAAAAACAAATAACTTCTGTACTTCAAAGAACACCATCCAAAAAAAAAACACCACAATCCATATAATATGAGACTATTATGGCAAATTATATGCCTGATAAGAAACTTGTATCTGAAAAATAGAAAGCAATATTATTTCCATAACAAAAGACAAACAACCTAATTTTAAAATGGGCATTTTAAAATTGAGTAGGCATTTCTTCAAATAAGAGATATGGATAAATACTAAGCACATAAATATATGCTCAACATCATTAGCTGTTAGGGAAATGCAAATCAAAACCATAATGAGATACCACTCCACACCTAATAGTATTGCTACAAATAAAATAGCCAGATAATAACAAATGTTGGCTAGAATGTGGATAAATTAGCATCCTCATATATTGCTGCTAGGAATGTAAAATGTTGCAGCAACTTTGGAGAACATTTTGACAGTCCCTTAAAGGTTAAACATTATAATATAACTCAGCAAGTCTACTCTCATGTTTACACCCAAGAGAATTGAAAACATACACCCAAACAAAAACTTGTACAATGAATGGTCATGTGTGTGCTATATGTGATATATCAATCAACAGTAATATATTTATGTAATTTACATATGCTGAGAATGGGGAACATACTCAAAATATTTTTTTTTTTTTACTGATAAGTGTTCAAAAAAGTTTGGAGACCACTGCCTTAGAGCAATAGTTCTCATACTTTCCATGAATGAGATTCAACAGGGTGTTTGTTAAAGATTTCCGGGCCCTAACCCCGGAGTTTCTAGTTCAGTAGGTCTAAGGTAGAACCTAAAAGTTTGCTTTTCTAAGCAGTCTCTAGATGATGCCAGTGCGTTGGTCCAGGGGACATGCTTTGGGTACTTAGATTGTTGTCCCTGTTATGCTAAAGCTTACTGAGGATGCCTGTTAAAATACATATTTTAAGGCCCCACCTCTAGAAATTATGTATGAATAGGCCAAGAATTGGCTTCAGAATTTGCATTAACGGTGATCACAGGTGATTCTGACTCAGTAGGCCTAAGGATCATCACTTTCTGAGTAATGCTACTTAGGAGCTTAGAGAGTGGAGTTACGAAATGGTGGTGTCAGTCAGGAAGAAGCAGCATTGTCCCTTTTGAAAATTGGGAAACTGTTCTTCAGATATTCTCAGAGTCTGAGAATAAATTCAGAGTCAGGAAAATTCTCCTTGGATTCTCTCTTAAAAGCTACTGATGGAAAAAAAAAGACATGAGCTAATGAGAAGCATTCAATAAAATAGAAATGTTGAAAGCTTTTTCCCCTCCTTGGGAATTAGATTTATACCTCTGTTTGCAAATAAATTTTCAAGAATATAGAAAATATGTAAAGCACGATTTTTTGGGTATCATTATTACTATTTTAAAACTGAACATTTAAAACTTTTATTCCATTAAGACATCATAACCTTCACATACATTTACTGACTACAAAATTGATAAAGAAAAATAATCACCCCTGGTCTTACAATCATTGTAAGACTTGCAAATTTCTTTACAGGTTTTTGTTTTTGCTTTTAGTACAGAGTTGTGTTATTGTTGTTATTTGGTTTCATGATTTCTTCGTATTAGTGATGATAGTGTATATGATGTTTTGTTTCCTTTTTTCCTCCTGAATTGTGTCATAAGTATTTTTCCTTTGGTTTCATAAATATTTTATAAGGATGGCCCATTGAATTATAGTGTACCGTCATTTATTTTACATTTTTAAATATTTAGAAGTTATATTTCATACATTTTCCATTAGATTCATAGAGTTTTATAGTTGGAGTTACCAAAGATGATTTCTACTTGTCCATTTTACAGATAGTTAAACCAGTTTTCACAAAATCATAAAATTAAAAAATGGCAAAGTTAGAGCTAAAGCCCGTTTTCTCACTCTTGTTGTACTGGTTATTCCACTATGTTGTGCTGTTTTCTCTAATAATTTAAAATTTACTGGAAAGAACATTAGATCTGTGCCACTTTGTTTCCTACTTAACCCATTTATTCTTTGTTCTTTTTTCCTCTTTCTCTGCCTGCTTTGAGGTAGTTTGAGTATTTTTTATGATTCTGTCTTATCTCCACTATTGACTTATTGAGTATATCTCACTTTAAAAAAAGTAGTAGTTTCCTTAGGATTTAAGATATACATCTTTATCACAGTCTACCTGAAAACACTGTTTTCAGAAAGAGCTTTAGAATAAAGCAAATATTAAGATTTGTGTATATTATTGACATTTATAATAACTAAATTTCTTATATTATCCCTACTTCTTTTTAATGCAAAGACTGCCAAACATGTTATATTCCTTAACCCAAATATGTCAAGTTCTTATAGTGGACAAATGTGAATTTTGTATCTCCCCATTAACAAGACATTTATAAGAAGACTGTTTTCCTAGGTTTTCTTTTTAATTGCAGTGCTGCTAATAGAGATGACTTATATTCAATGGGAAGTGACCAAATCTTGAACCTTATTTAAAACTACCATAGATTTTTGAACTGTGAATTTTATTTTTAAGACATGAAATTGTAGTTTGTGTGTCTATGTGTGTTTTCTCTTTTTTGCCTTTGCAACCAATGTAAGTGTACTCATTGAATCTTGGAGTTAGAAAGGGACTCAAAAGCTCATTTAAACCAAACTCTTTGTGTAACAGAAAAGGAAACACAGGCTGTACTAATTATCTATTGCTGCATAATAAATTACTCTAAAACTTAGTGGTTTATACAGCTAGCATTTATTATCTCACAGTTTCTGTGGTCCAGCAATCCTGGGATGGCTTAGATGGACCCTCTGGCTCAGAGCCTCTTATAAGGCTACACAATCAGTGTGTAGGCTGGGCTGTGGCCTCATCACAAGGCTCAACTTGGAGAGGACCCACTTCCAAGTCTATTTACATGTCTGTTAGCAGGATCCTGTTCAAGTACTGTTGGAATGAGGGTCTCAGATCCTCACTGGCTGTTCACTGGGAGCATTAGTTGCTACAGGCCTCTCTGTAGGGCAGCTGAGAGCATCGCAGTTGGCTTTCCTCAGAGTATGCCATGGAGAAAGCAAGCCAGAGAGGGAATTCACAGTCTGTTTATAACTTAAACAGACTTGGAAGTGACATCCCATCCCCTTTACTATATTCTGCTCATTTGAAGTGAGTCACTAGGTTCAGCCTATAATGAAGGGGAGAGGATTACACAAAGGTGTGAATACAGGAGGGAGGACCACTGGGAAATACCTTGGATGCTGCCTACCACAGAGACCCAGATAAGTGAAATGCCCAGTCATACATACATTTTGTTAGTGGCAAAGCAGGGGCTGGTTCCTGATCTTTCAATTCACAGTCAGTCCATGGTTCTTTTGAATTTTCTCTAGTCATTAAAAAAAAAAAAAGTTAATGACATAATAACCCTTACTTTTTGAGAGGATAAATTACTTTTAATTCACTACAGCTCACCAGATTACTCTTAATATTGCAATAGGGGAAAGATGCAGAGAAAAAAGAATAGTTTGATATCTTTACTAGTTTTGCTTTTCTACTCAGTGGAAATCCGTACCAAGTCTCATAGAAGCAAGGTTGCAAAGGAGAACTAGGAATGTTGACAGTGACTAACTTAGAGATCTCCCAGTTAAAACTTCAAACTACACACCTTGATCTGGATTTGTTAGTTGGGTGCTTCTACAATAAACTCATATTTTTAAGAAAATGATAGATATGGACATTAGTATACTTTACAAATCCTTATATAATTTACATTATGGTTCAAATAATAGGTTGAAACCAAGGAAGAGCATTAGTATGATTTAAAAATGTGAAAGGCAAGATTGGGCACGGTGGTTTATGCCTGTATTCCCAGGGGGGATCGCTTGAGGGCAGGAGTTTGAGACCACCTTAGGCAACACAGTAAGATTTTTGTCTGTAAAAAAATTTTGAAACAATTAGCCAGGTGTAGTGGTCATGCCTGTAGCCCCAGCTACTCAGGAGGCTGAGGCAGGAGGATCACTTTAGACCGGGAGTTTGAGGCTCCAGTAAGCTATGACTGCACTGTTGCACTCCAGTCTGGACAACAGAGGAAGACCTTGTCTTCCCGCAAAAAAGAAAAAGTGAACAGCAGCAGTAGCACTGTGCTTGGATCTAGGAGTGCTTATTGCCATCAAATGTTTGGGAATAAACTTTACAGAGTGATGGAGGTAAAGTAGAAAAGGGAACACACCCAGTTTGTGATTTGTGGAAAGATATTAAGGATATAAGCAACACAAATTGCCCTCAGCACCTTTTTTAAAAATTTTATGTTTTCAGAGCACTTGTTAGCTGAAAAGGAAGTGATAACAAACATCCACTCATCCTTATTGTTTTATTGTCTTATCACTGTACTAAAGCATGGACAGCTAATATATAGCTAGCAAACAATGAGTTGTTATGCCTTGACTTAAGAACCACTTTCTCATTTAGGTAAAGTGCACTGATTTTTCTCATGGCCAAAAAAACAATCCAGAACAGAAATAGAAGACAACCATTCCTCTGATATAATTGAGAAGTCTATTAAGAAAAAGGAGGGAACAAGGAATGATAAGATGTAGAACTATTTGGTGGTTGATGAGTAAAATACGTTTGTGTGTGTTTTTTTTTAATGACTTTGAATGTCATTGATGTGTCTCAGCGCAAAAGTTACCTTTTCAGAGAAATGCGCCTCCAGCATCCTAACTAAACTTTGTCCTTCCACATTCCTGTCATTATCAGGTTATTCTGTGTAATATTTCATAGCAATTACACATTTTAAAAATTGTCTGTTTTCTCTCCTTGAGAACATATACACCATGAGAACAGACGCTTTGTCTATCTCATTCACTACTGGATTCCCAGAACCTAAAACAGTTCCTGAAACACACTAGGTATTTAACACTTTTGTTGAATGATTAAATACAGTATTCCAAATACATAAAAGAATCTATATGTCAGAGCTTTCCGAACTTTCACTTTTAGCACTTTGGTAATTTTTTCATAGCAGTACTAGACCCAAAGGAAATATATAACTTTTTCATTTATTAGATAATTATGTCCAAACAACTTAATAAGCATTTATATCTAAAAAACTTAGTAGTCCTTAGGGAAAAATACACATTAATTTAAGGAAAATAATGTTTTATGTCATTCTTAACCAGTTACTTACAAGTGTAATATATACTTCTGTTGTGGACGTCATAACTTCTCAAACAATAGGATCAGATTGGACACTGCTCTTCATGTCCTGTTCCACAGTGATTCTTATGCTTATTATTACATCTACTACCAAAAATCCAACTTTGCAAAAAATATGATGTCAATAAAATTAATATAGTGTGATCTACTGTTGAAACTGTGAACTGTCTCATCTAGTAGTCTGTGTGATATACAACAGATATTCAACAAAGCTGTATTTTCTTTGATAATTTAAACTATCCCACAGCACCCTGGGAACCATAGTTTAAATGGCTTAAGTTTACCTCATTTTTTTATATGGTACATTGAAAGCCTGAATGTTCAGGGAAGAGGCTCAGACCTTTGTTTTTAAGCTGGGAGGAAGAAAAACAAGCTGTGAGCTACAAGAAGCAACCTAGGATTAGGGCACTATTAGCAGATCAGGGTCAGAAACACTGACCTGGAGAAAACAGTCATAGTTAATACTTAAGAAATCAGAATCTGGGCATATTAAAAAATACTAGAGCAGAATTAGACTGCTAAACAAATCAAGAACCTTTAAATTAGAACAGACAAGGCTAGCATGAGTTGATTTTGGTATCAAAACTTAGTGTTAATTATAAAGTATTAATGTCATGTTGAGTAGGGTTTCCCTGCATTGAAAATGAGATTGGGCAAGATGACCTATAAGATCCCTGGTAAATCTCTTGTAAAATGATCTACATAAAAGAGCAGTATTTTTTAGAATTGTGAATCTTTACTGCCAGAAGGAAACTTAGAAATTTTCTGTTTAAATTCCTTCTACATCATTCTAGTTATAATGAAGCTTAGTCTAGCAATTGCTTTTATGTGCAAATATGAAACAATCATTCTGAAATTCAAACAGCTTATTTTTAATGAACAAGGAAAGCCTACAGTTTCTATGACTTAAAGCTTTTTAGTGTTGATTTCAATTGTGTAATAAAATCTGTAATCTTAATATTTATATAAATCTAAATTAGAATTTGTAAAAATAGTCAAGCTTATAAAAGTCTCATATAAAAGTATGAGAGTAATACTAACTGAATTGCATTACATTTGACCATATGCTGGCCTTTATAACTGTTATCTAAATCTTAACTCTCTAATCAGCCACTACCAATTAAATAGAATTGAAACATCTCTGACCTATAACAACCTATAGCAAGATGTTCACTAGTATATTTAATATATACTGACACCAGACTTCAGCAATTTTGTCAAGACCTTTGTAAGGTTTTCTTTTATTCTGTTACCTTATTTACTAAGCCCTGTCTCTGATCGATGTGTTTTCAAGCTTACAAATAAGAAATTATTGCTAATTTTGGGGGATGTGATGTCATGATTTTTTTTTTAAATGTCTTTATAAGAGATACACACTGACATATTTCAAGGTGAAATAATATGGTTGTCTGGAATTTAATTTAAGATTACAACAGAGTTCATTCTAAAAAATGCCTATTTTGGTGTTAACTGAATTGAATTGAATTGAATTGAAAAATGCCTTACCAGTTTTATTTCATATTGACCCTACCACCCTACCTATATTTTTACATGCATTATTAAGGGAATGCTCTTTATAGTGTACAGTTTCTACCTGAAATCTCCACATATGACATAATCTTGCTTCTCACTCCCTGCCCCCACCCACCCCAGCCAAGATCTAAGTCCCTTTTCCACAAGCCAGTAAAAAAGATTAATGAATTTCTGGTTACTTGTTATCTGCATAAATGATGTGAGTATAGCATGAAGCCCACCCTGACAGAGCTATGCTGTGATCTTTTCAAGTTAGATTAAGGGCTCACTAAGCAGGGCGTGCCCATTAAATTATAATGTTGTAAAGCTTGAATTCTGGAACACATATTGCTGGTATTTTAGTTTTTAATAGGATTATCCCTACTATGAAATAATTTGAGAACATATGTTATATTCCTGTGAAACTCTGAGTTGATCTGGTATGAAAAGAGATGAGCTGCTTTTCTCTCTATGTCCAGAAACTATTTCTTTTTAATACTTTGGAGATTATGAGACATATACAGAAAATGTGCATCTCATGAAGCATTCTGATCCTTATTAATCTTACATAATAATGTTTTCTTATTCATGTACTTGAAATATAACAGTAAAAACACATCTTAACTGTGTAGCAGTCTGAAAAAGGCAAAACTATGGAGACAGTGAACAGATCAGTGGTTTCCAGACTACTGGGAGGAGGGAGAGATGAACAGGTGGAGCACAGAGGATATTTAGGGCAATGAACATCCCCTGTACAATACTACAATGGTAGATATATGTAATTATGTATTTGTCCAAACCCATAGAATGTATACCACTAAGAATGAACCCTAATATAAACTCTGGACTTTGAGTTATGATGTGTCAATGCAGGTTCATCAGTATTAACAAAGGTACCACCGTGGTTCATGATGCTGACAATGAGAAAGGCTGTCAAGGATAGGGGAGCAAGAGTTAGATGGGTATATAGCAAATATCTACAGGTTTATTATGAACCTAAAACTGCTCTAAAAAATAAAGTCTATAACACACTCACATGTTTTAATATTTTTGGTGTGTTTTTTTCCTGAAGTACCCAAGGCTTTAACAACTCTGTGGCCTATAAAATGTCTTCTATTCAACATGTCCTCACCAAGAAAGTATATTCATATATGAAATAAACTTACTGGAGTGTTTCGCATTTCCAAAATTTGAGCTGGATTTTTCTTTTTATTTCTACTGTGTTTGTTTTTACTTTTTACTTTTTCTGCTTTTTTATCTATTTATTTATTTATGAGACAGTCTCACTCTGTCACCCAGGCTGGAGTGCAGTGGCGGGCTCAGCTCACTGCAACCTCCACCTCCTGGGTTCAAGCAATTCTCCTGCCTCAGCCTCCTGAGTAGCTGGGATTACAGGCACCCGCCACTACACCCAGCTAATTTTTTGTATTTTTAGTAGAGTCGGGGTTTCACCATGTTGGCCAGGCTGGTCTCAAACTCCTGACCTCAGGTGATCCACCCGCTTGACTCCCCAAAGTGCTGGGATTACAGGCATGAGCAACCCTTCCTTGTATATTGTGGATTTTACTTGATATATTGGATCGAATGCTTGTTGTTTATTTTTCTATGCTTCTTGTTTTCCAATGAATGTATCTTATAAAAGCTGTAGACATTTTTCTGAGACCTGCTTTGGTTGTATCTCATAAGTATTGCTATATCATGTTCTCCTTG